TTTTTTTTTTTTTTTTTGTATTTTGGGCCTTTTTGCTTCCTGAGCCTTCTCCCATGCTGGATTTTTAGAGAGGCTCTTTGTTCATGCCATATTAGCACCAGGCTGGGCGAGCTGTTGTGTGGGGAGGGAAAACCCCAACCTCCCACGGGAAATATTTTGTTTCTTGGGGGTGGATTTTTGGAATTAAAAAAAAACCTGAAAGAAAAACCAAGACCAACTAAAATTCCTGAGTGTGAGCTCTGCCCATTTGTCTGTGAGGAAGTGGAGGGGACAGGCCAGGGCTGGGACCTCCTGTGTCCCCCCTTGTCCCCAGCACTGTGGCTTTCTCAGCTGCTCGAGAAGAAACTGGAGCACCATCGGTGGTGGCAGCTGTCCCGGTGTCCCCACTGTGTCCTGGCGGGTGGTGGCAGCTGTCCCTGTGTCCCATCACCTCCTGCCAGGGCCACAGGTCCTCAGAGGCGTGTGAGGCTCTTTCCCTCCACATCCCTTGGGAAACCTGTCCCTTCCCAAGGGATTCCTGGGCCACCAGGGTGACATTTAGTGTCCCCACCCTGTGGGGATGTCACAGCCCAGGTCCCTGCGGCAGCTGGGCTGTGACATTTGCATGGCGAGGCACACTGCAGGTGACGCCATCCTCCATAGGTGGCTGAGGCCACTGTCACCCTCTCTGTGCCCTGGTCCCCAAGTGCCACCACGTGCCTCCCCCGGTGATGCACCAGATCCAAGCAAATCTCAGCGCCCTGACCCCCTACCTGTCCCCTCCAGATGTCCCCTCATGGCCCCAGGGACAGGGACCCTGCACATGGTGGCACACCTGCTGCCACACACAGCACATGTGGTCACACACACATGCAGTGTGGAATGACACACATGATGTCACGCACACACAAGAGCCACTGTCACACACCCCTGGTGTCTCTCACAGTGTCACACACAAAATGGCACACACAGAGACACCGTCACACCTGTTGCACCCCAGGCTGCCACACACGTGGTGGCACACAGGCATCCAGTGCCATGGATCCTGTGTCACACTCAGTGTCACACACCCAGTGTCACACACCCCATGTCACACACACACCCCCAGTGTCACACACGCAGACACACCCAGTGTCACATACACATCCAGTGTCACACATACACCCTGTGTCACACACCCTGTGTCACACACATATACCCAGTGTCACACACACAGTCACATACACACA